GGGTGTGTGTGGCTGCCCCACCAAGCGGGCACCTGCCGAGTCGTGACCCTCTCTGCTTTCCTTTGCATGCTCCTGGTGCCCACAGCCATGTCCAAATCGGCTGTCAAAATCTCTTCGGACCTGCTGTCTAACCCCCTGTGCGAACAGGAGCCTGGCTTTCTGGAGATGGTCACGGCCTTCGACACAGCGATGAAGAGGATGGACTCTTTCAACCAGGAGAAGGTGAATATGGGTTTGGCCGAAGAAGGGGAGACCAGGGTGTGCCGAGGTGCTGTTGGTATCTCCTCCTTCCCTTTTTGTCATTGTCTCCAAGATGCTTCTCACACGACTTTCTCTATAATCTTACTTTTCTTCTGACTCGGGCTGTACTGGGGATTTCAGCTCAGCCCAAGCACGTGGGAGAAGTTTGCTATTTTTTGGTTAAAGGGCATTGTGGTTGTGCTCAGAAGCCCACATCGTCCTATGGTAGGCACTGTGCAAACATGTATCGTTGTGCAAACAGGCTTTTTCAACAAGCCTGACATATAATCATCCCTTTTGCTTTCAACAGGTGAATCAGATCCAAAAGACAGTCATAGAGCCTTTGAAAAAGTAAGTACCAACATTGTCTTATGAGCCATATCGAGTGTTTGTCATAACTGTGTACTTTAGGGATGTGTATCATCGAAAGAGATGTTGTCAGGTTAGAAATCAACCCTTCCTAAAGAGGTAATAGTTCACAGCCCTGTGACAAAATGCCCCCCTCCTTGCTTCGCAGCCGGGGCATGGGGAGGTGGGATGGTTTAGCTGAGCCCGTACTCTTACTCTGTGGCAAGGGTGAAGACCTCGTGTCTTAGCCTGCCAGATGTCTTTATCTGTACTTTAAAGAACACCTGAGATGAGTAATACTGAATGCATTAAAGCATCCAGCTTCTCTCTCTCTATACGTTGGTTACCACCAACACTTTGCTCCATCCAAAGGACAAAAATTGGCTGGGGAGCTCCCCGGTGGGCAGCAGGCACCAACAGTGCCATCCAGCCCGTGGCGGTGAGTATTCCGGGGTTTGAACAAAAAGTTTCTTTCCTTTGGAAGTTTTCTAAATAAAAAATAAAAAAAAAAATAGCAGCTTGCTTTTAATGAAAGTTCTTTTATGTTTATAAATAATATATTCATGCAGGAAAGAAAGAGATGTTACAGAGCTGTCGTAGCTAGAGAGTGAGCAGGTGGGAGGTACAGACAGAAAACCACCGGCCTCCCCTGTCCCGGGCTGGTAACTGATCCAGGATGGGATGTCTTGGACCCTGGAGAAAGTCTTGCAAACCTCTGCAGGAACAGCTTCAGACTGCGTGTGGTCCAAAGGGCCAGCACAGGGTGCCCGTGGAGGGAAACCCACTGGATTTGGAGCCGGACCTCGCTCCAAACCGTGCCTGTCCACAGGTTGCACGGCTTGGAACTAAATCTTTATCAGAGAGCAAGAGCCAGAGCTGTTGACAGTATTGTTCTGGAAGTAGGTTTCCATATTTCCCCCCGTTCCTTGCTAGCTGGTGCCATACGGTGCGTCAGTACTCAGTCATGCCTCGGCACCGCGGCAATTTTGTCACCTAGGTCTCATCTGGTGCAATTCCCCACTGTCTGCACAATTTCTACCGGCGTTAGCAGCCATTACCGGTGTCACAGGCTGTACCCCCTAAACATTTAAGGAGTGCTTCAGTTGCTATACCAAATGTCTTCTGAAATCCTGAGATTTGCTGTTTTGTTACAAGAACAGAGCAAGCGAGCGAAAATAAAATAAAATGACTTTAATATGACAGTAAGTGTTGCAAATTGCTGAATAACAATTTTAGTTTAGGTTTGACACAGGGTGGTTGGTTGGTTTGGGGTTTTTTTTTAAGTTGTTGTTTCTGCCCAAATCTGAAAGTAAAATCTCATATACCACTTAGCGCATGAGGTTACACTGTGTTTCTATCTGGGGGATGTTTGGTGACTCAAGTTTTACCTTGGTCGTCTATCCACGACCAGAAATTATTGATTATTTAGGGGGAAAAAAAAAAAGAAAAAGAAGAAAGAAAGAAAAAAATCCCAGGCTTGTGCTGTGGAATTGTGTTGCTTATTATCTAGATTGTCCTCATGAAAGATACATTAACTTTTTCTTCCAGCATTCTGTTAAAATTGGAAGAAGGGCTTGTGTCTCTGAAATCTTCATGGGTTTTTGGTTTTTTCCCCCCTCAACTTGTGTTAGTTGATGAAATGAAAGATAATACCTTTCCCTGCAAACCTCGCCTTGTGTTTTAAACCCTGGGCAGTGCATGGGGCCGTTAATTCAAGCCAATAAAGCCATTTCCACATCGCTGATGTCGTCTTCTCTGTTTGTGCAGCGTTTGGCTCGGGATGCCGTAGCACAAACAGAAGGAGAAAGACCCCGTTCCTCCTGCTTTGGGTTTGAGGCAGCTCTGTGAGATCTCATTGTGTTTATTATTCCTGCCATAGGGAAATATTGGGGAAATAGTGGAGTTTTGCAGGACACGGGGGCAGTTGGTTTGTTTCTTCTTGGCTCAAGGAGGGAGCGCATCTCACGAGGTGTAATGCTCAACTCGCTGGTTATCAGTCCAGTCCTTAGTTAAACATTAAGAGTGTTTACTTCAGCGTCCTGGCTTCTTTCCAGCCTTGGCAGTTCTCTCAAACTTCCTAAATTTCCATTGGACTCGAATATGGTATTTTTTTTCCCCCCTTCCTGCCCTTTGGCACCTGCAAACAGTTGCTGTGTGCTCTTAAACAGCTTATGTTTCATGCTCAGAGAGGCTGCATCTCCACGCCGAGCAAAAAAAGAAATAAAAATGTTCCTTTCGTTCCCTCTTTCTGCCTCTCCTCGAGCGTCGGTACGTGCATGGCCGAGCCGTGCAGCCAGGAACATTTCTGAGGAGCCCAAGGGTCCATTTTGAGGCTAATGAGATGCAGGAGAGAAATGCAGAGCTTGCACCTCCCCTTGTCCTGCTGGCAGATAAACCCCAGCAACGCTTCTAGGATAAAAGTTTCAGATTAATGAAAGCTGCCTTGAGGAACTCTTCTTATTTCCAGTTAGGTACTGCTTCCCCTCGCAGAGACAGTCCTCCCCAGCCTCTCCCAAACTTGCTCTGACCTAGAAAAAGGCTTTTTGCTACAACAGCTGCACTTTATTACATCTTCACTGGTGGTCTTTTATAGTTTATTAGCCAAAGAAACAGATAAGTATAATCCAGGCAATTATCATTAGTGGTAATATATTGTAATCGGAGGCACATGTGCAGCAAAATCTCCATTCAGTTGTCCAGGGTTATAGGTTTCAGACAAATACTGGAGAATTTGTTAAACCACATAGAAGAAAGCGATAGTAGATTTAGAGGGGGGGTGAAGGCTTGTATTGTTTAAATCCTTCTGCTTCTGGGGACGTAGGGTTATTCAGAGTTTTGCTTTTTGAGCCCCAAGAAACCCTTGGCTGGGAATCACTCATTTAACTTTATTTTTTTTGAAAGAGCAAAGCCCTAGTGAGAATATTCCATATTTCAGTGTGTGGGTTGGGCAAGAAGCTGGGGTGGCTGGGAAAGGTCGGGAGGGATCTGCTCTCCTCTTTGGGAGATGCCTGCATAAATTGCACGCCAGATCAGTGGATTTGGGGCAAGGGAGGAGGAAAAACAGCTGGTTTTTACTTCACTCTTCCAGTTCTTCGCTCTGGCTTGGCTGAGCAGCAAGGTGTATTGGTGATAGACGGTGGACTGTCAGCTCGGTATTACAGATTGTGTGTCAGTATTTAAGGAAGGAAGCAGCTTAAATAAGCCAGGTGGTTCGGAGATCCATGGCTTTGAGTGCCTTTCACGTTCGGAGCTGATTTTCATTGCCGCAGGGTCTCGAGTTAACAGACTCTAGCTGTCTGAACCTCCCTGAGCATCAGGGACCATCCCCTGGGCTCGGAGCGTGGTCCTGCTCCTGCAGCCGAAGCTGGGCAGGGGCGTCACAACGGGTGCCGCCGCCTGGGTGCCGTCAGCCGGGGCTGGGTGTCAGCACAGCAGGAGGTCCCAGGGGCGCAATCCAGGCGCGGTTCACAGCAGATTGATGTATAAATTCAATTAGGGCTGTATGTCAGGAAATATCTGCCAGCGATAGCAACCGGTGCTTGGCATCGTCTTCTTCCCATAACCCTGCCATTAACGTGAACCCTCGAGCTGCCTTTCCTCTCCGGCAGCCGAAGCAGATAACCGGCCTCGAGCAGCCCCAGGGGTGCCGGGTACCGGAAGCAGGAAAAGCCGCTTTCATGTCCTTAACGAGCCCCTAATGAGGATTTCATGCACAAAGCTAGCCACATGGCTGCCTGGCCCCCTCCCGCCGCGCGGGGCTCTCAGCCTAATCCCCCAGCTCGCTGCTTTTTTGTACCGTCATCTTCATTTCTGTTCCTTTTCACTCTAGTCGGAAGGGCTGGTTTTAATTTCCCCCTTCCTGGTGGGTGGACGGGCCCACGACGGACGTGTGGGCACGGGCTGAGGAATGGCAGGCATCCCCGAACATAGCCCAGATGCTTCGGCCTCACGCTGAGCCATCCTTGTGCCTCTCCAAACTTCCTCCTCGTCTCATCCACCGTTGCTTTCTTTCGCATCTCACGCTTCCCAGCTCTGTTACTCCTTTTTCCCCTGTCTGGTGCCAGCCGTAGACCCTGCCCCGCTTCCTTTAGCTTTCATTTTCCAAGCCGTTACCCCTAAATAACGCTGTAGGAAAGAGCGCACATGCATGCTGGCCTAGTCCAGCTCACAGGGAGCGCTTGAGACGCTTGCAAAGGGGGAGAAATAAAGGTTTTACCATTATTTTTCCCCGCGCCAAAGCCCCAGCACCTCTTTTGTATTGCTGACACTAAAAATGTGGGGCTGGAGGAGGCTGCTTGCCAGAGACCACAGGGAGAACATTGGGACGAGCATCGGGGTGGAGAGGGAGAGGAGGAGACGGGTGGTTCAGGGACCTGCGGGCAGGGAGGTGATGGGATGGTCCCACTCCTCGAGCATCCCCGCAAAGCTGGGCTCGCCAGCAGCCTCCCGTCAGAGAGAGAGAAGTTTTCAATATTGAAGCACCAGACTTGTCAGCTGGGCTGACTAACGAACGAATCCGGCAGCGACGGGAATCCTGACGGCACTTTTTATCTTCCGTGGCAGTGTCTCTCCAGCCCTGTCCTTTAATTACGGGAAGCTGATGGGAAGCTGGTGTGGAGACGAAGTGGCAACATGATTTATAATTCAGAGAATCGGATGACTTTTTTTTTTTTTTTCCAAGGCTAAACTGTCATCCTAAGAGGAGTTCACCGGTATGTTCCCCCTCTCCCCCCCAGCAGTGGGGAGACAGTAATTTGTATTTTCTTTTAGTTATCCCTGCGTATCTCCCCTCACCTGCTCCTCTTAAGCCGCCTGTACTATAATCCCCTCTCAGCAGCCTTGCCTAAAAAGTGACAGGGAACAACGGCGGCTTATTCTGCAAGCTGCTTTCATGGCAGGGGCTTTAATGCCCTGTGCTGCTGTTTTACCTTCACTCCTGCTCTGTGCTTTTAGCACTGTACCCACCAAATTTTCCTTAAGTCAGCTTTGCTTTGCTTTGCATTAAAAAAGAAAGTATCGAGTAACAGAGAGCGGTCCTGGGGAATTTGTGAGTGGGTTACGGCTGTCAGACCCTCATCCCCTACAAAAGCAGGGTCGGGGTGGAGCGTACGGAGGAGGATGGTGCTGGGCTTATCAATAAATACCCACATCTACTGCAGGGCTTTTCATCTGTGCCTCTCGGAGCACTTTGCAGCAGGAGGAATCGTTGCCCTTGCTCCATGGGTGGGGGGAATGGATGGGTGAAACGACCAGGGTTTGCTTGTGAGGCTTCCGTGGTCCTGCTAAAATGCAGCCTTTTCTTCTGGGCTTAGTTGTTTTAACTTCATTTCCAGAGCGGCGGATGCTGTTTGGATGTTGCTCACCACCCCTGGCACTAGTGATGGTCCTTGTCCTTTCTCTCTTGGCACCGCTGCTGCCGGGATGGTTTGCAATGCTCAGCCAAAAGCTTTGGAAAAGATTTGAGATCCTCGTAGGGTTGTTCTTGCAGGGCTTGGGAGACCTGAGGGATGTGTTTGTGGATGGCAGGGGCTTTTGGAGGGTTTGTAGACTGCCTTTCTGCCAGGCTTTCCACGAGGAGCATTTGTAAATAACATGCATGAGATATTTGTGAAGACACTGGGGTGACTTGTGAAATGCAGCAATTTATTAAGTCATCAGAATAACTTGGCAGTGGCGGGAGCCCGTATCTCCCTATCACCCTTCATGGGTGTTTACCACTCCTGGCACTTGGCTTGAGATCCTATTTCTGTACACAAGGGGAGAAAAACCCCGGGCAGGACTTCAACATGGGCAAGAAACCCACTCCTCTCTCAGCTCCAGGGGAATTTCAGAGCTGCTGGGTTGACAGGGAGTTCATTTGGAGTAATTCCTTCAGGAGCTGGAGGCAGCTTCGCCTCAATCCAGATCAGTCCAAGGAAGGAGCATCCTTCCCTGCTTGAGCTGAGCTAATCCTGCGTGAAAATTAAACCAGGTGACTCACGGGGAGAGGTCAATCAGCACCGGGAGAGCTTGGTCGGCACAAGGAGAGCTCGGTCGGCACGCTGGCGGGGTCTGGAGGAACCACGGCTGGCCTGGTCCTTCCTGCTGGTGCCGGCAGTGAAGGACCACCGCACCGAGACAACCTCAGCTGCCACGTGGAGTTTGCAAGCAGCTTGGAAATCCCCACACCGCTTTGCTGCTGGGCTGCGGCTGCTGAGGAAAAACTCAAGTGGGTTTCAACTTTGCTGCTCACAGCCCTTAAAAGCCCTCGAGCATCTCTGGAGGGGCGGGGGGAGCGCGTTTTGAGCCCCCTGCGCGCATCCCTCAGCAACCCGTCACTTAATGCTGATGTTTCCAGCACCCAGGCTGGAGCCTGGGGCGCCCGTGGGAAGGTGTGTTGGAGCCAGGGAGCTTTTTATTAATGGCAGCTTGTGGAGCTGAGCTGCTCCCCCCTCTAAAATACAGCATATTATCTATGCATTAAAAGTCCTTGTGAGACAGTAGTTGCTGTGCCTACACGGTAACAGCCTCTTCAGATCCAGCGCTGTAGATATTTTTTTAAAGCACTGCCAGAGTGCAGTGTCCTTCCATTACGGGCTGCAAAATTGCACCGAGTTGATAGTAGGAATAAGAAAGGGGGGGAAAAAAAAATCAAGCCTTTTTCATTTTTAAAACCAGATTTAACTTCAAAGTAAATGGAAACTGTGTCGCTGATCGTCTTCTGCGTTCTCACTCGCCGCGTTTCTGAGCTAAAGGGTTCGCTCTTCCCCTGCGGTAGCGAGTTTGTAAGATGTAAATGGCTGCGTGCTAATTCTCTGGTGTCTCGTGGCTCTTTTAATGTACGAGCACCGTGGAAGTGCCGAGCATGGGAGAGCGTGCGAGAGAAAGGGCTCAAAAGCTGAGCCATCAGAAAAACGCCATTTAGAAGCTAGCGTTGGGTACGAATGCAAGGCTTAGCGTTTTTGAGGCATCTTCCTGATAAGCGGTTTCCAAGAGTTGATGGATGCGTGGGCAGTGATGGCCACATCCAGACCACGCTGGTGGCTTGGCAGCCCCGGAGGGGATGGCCACGGCTCAGCGTTTGGTGCACAGACCGGGGAAGGGAGGATTTCCCAGCCCCAGGCCATCTCCTCCGATGTTTCCTGGGCCCGGAGGCACATTGCGGAGGAGCAGCTCGGTTCACCCCCGTAGTCCTTAGTGGGCTGCAACTTGCTCCTGCCCTGCTTTTGGGTGCGATGCAGAGAGGTGAGAGGTGGTGTGCCGTTACCAAACCTGCCCCCAGCGGGGATTTAACACAAAAATAAAGCCGAGAGCCTCTGGCCTGACGGGATCCTTCCTTTCCATTGCCAACTCATTAATAATTGGGAAAAATTTCTGCAGAAGCCACAACCTCAAGCTGCTGACATTAAGTGTGCGCCGTAGCAAAGAAGGTCTGTGCTTTTATACCGAGGAGACCTCCCAACCTGGGTACCCCCTTCCCTTCCTCCGTGCAGTCCTTACAGCCCGTCCCTATTTCCCCAGCCCTCTCACGGCATATTTTTGGACCTTATGTAGAGGGAGGAGGTATTTTAGCAGCGGCCCATAGCCCAGGAGATGGTAAGTCCGTGCTTGGAGCCCGGCACAGCCAGGAACCGTAAGCCAGCGCGGCATTTAAATATAATGGGGAGCCGTATGCGAAGGTGACCATAAAAAGCAATGTCAGGGCAGCAGCATCTGATCCGCGGGCGGGCAGCTGGGCGGCAGGGTGACGCTGGGCGAGCTCCCTGATGACTTTTGCAGGTCGCTCCTCATGCCGCGGTCCCAGCTGCAATAGTCTCTTGCAATAGTCTGGGTCAGGAGGAGAATATCATCGGGGGAGCGTGTGAGAGCATTGCCGGCTCTGCACGGACCGGCCCTGGTTGTCCTCGGCCGGCGGGACTGGGAGAACACAACCCCGGTTCACCGTCTCAGTGAAGGATGCTTGAACACACGTAAATGCTTGAACATAAATGCTTGAACACAAATGTTTCCCCTTCCCCCTCGCTTCTGGCACTTGCCCTTTGCAAAGTGGGAAAGCTGAGGGACAAAAGCTTCGCCTCTGCACCCGCCAGTCCGGCACATTAGCACCCTCCGGGGTGAGCACGGCGTCAGAAAATGAGATTTTAATAGGGGATGGAGTGGCTGTGCAGGGCTGCAAATGCCCGTGGTTTTGTTTGAACCCGAATGCCTCTGTCTTAGCCCTGCGTCTGATTACATCCAGAGCAAATTACAGCCGTAAAGTGAGATTTGTGTTTTTCGTTTTGCTGATGTGTCCCCCAGCCTGGATTATAGTTGGTTGGGGTTGGTTTTGGGTTTTTTTTTCAATTTAAGGAGATCAGAAAGCTGTTTGCTTGCCTCACAGAAGTGAAAATCATCACCAGGCTGTTCAGACACATTTTTTCACCACCGGTTCCTGGCCTTGCCCCCTCCCCAAAATGACCCTATAGTTTGTGGAGAGTAAATTAATATAGCCAGAGGTAGCGTGACCTGTTTCGTACGAACCCATAGCCCAGCACCAGCGCAATCCCCATCAGTATAATTTGATTTACTGAAATTTGGGAGACAAGAACAATGCTCCAGTTTCTGGCTTTTCCTCTTCTGTCGCATTCAAAAATATTCTCTCTTGTCTTCGCCGTCAGATGTTCATGTTTCCTCAATTTGTAACACATTTTAATAATATGAATCTTCCCGTAGCCTGGCTAATTGTTGGCTGCTGTTAATCCTTCTGTGTGGGGTACAGAGCTCCTCTTCAGCTGGGCAAGCCTTGCTGTACGGCAGGCTGGGGTTTGCAACCCCAGAAATTACCCGAAAAAGCAAAAGTTGCTGCAGTTAATAGTTATTTTGCGCTTCCTATTTATTTTTCCTGGACTTTTGATCCAACTCTTCTCCCTGCTCATTCCCTTTCCAAACATGTAATTGGGGAAATACCACATTAGCTAATTATATTTGGGGGAAAATTTGTTTATTTTTCTCTCTTTGGTTTGCTCGGTGGAGTTAACAGCTTTGTTTTCTGCAGCAGCTTCCGTTCCCCCGTCCCAGATAAGGCAGCTCTCCATGTTCTCAAATACAGCAGCTGGAAGAGAGAGGGAAAACTGTTAAAAATAAAGACCTAATGGCAAAAGCATAAGGGCTGGCAGGAGAACTCAGAAGCAGGTTGGGACCTTCAAAGTACTTTTACCAGGCTTTGCAAAATTGGCTCGATTTTTATTATTATCATTTAAAAACACACCCTTGAACACATGAATTGACCTTCACAAAAAAAACCCCAAGCATGTGCTTCTAGCTCTCCTCTCAAACACCGCACCCTGGCAAGGCTTTGCAAATCTTTATATATAAACTTAATCCTTTCTTCCAGTCTCCTGGAAGATTGCAATGAAAGCTTTTGTGTTTGGAACGGGCTTTGTTTAAACCTGTGGCTATTTTTGGTCTGAATCTTGAATCATTTGGGGGCTTTTGGCTGGGGGGATTGTCTTGGATGTTACATCCGACTAAATATTCCCCCCCCAAAAAAACCC